TTTCTTACAAAATATGTCCAAGAATGATATACCAGAGAAAATTCAAAAGCAAGTGTCAAACTTTAAAAAACACAAAAGAGATGAAATGAGAAGAAAGAAAGTTGAAGAGCCAAGTAATGACGAGGAAAGAGTTGATCCATAAGCTATGTGATCCCAGCACTGTTACGATAACTTCTAAACAGCTCTAACTTCGCCTCGAGGGCAATAGCTCCAACTTTAATTTTTGATAGGCATAATCAGATCTGAGGATTTGCAAGCTGTGCAGAGCACCCGATCAGGTTGATGTAGAGATCCTTTGGTTAGAGGCTCAGAGCCATCTTGTATTTCTTCGAATCTCAATTCAATTATAGAAAATGAATTGAAATACTCAGAGAAATATGGCGGATTGTGTTTGTTCATATTTTTGGGGTAAAATACAACGAAATCTAAAATAAGGCAGAATCAAGAAGACATTGAATAACAGTGGTTTTGAACGTATTCTAAAATACACCAAATAAATGCATGATCCAATAACAACAGATTTTAATGTACTTTTTAAAATACTTAATTGAATAACGCTGGATTTTAAAATACCTCTAATTCCTTTAAAATACAGTATTGAATAACACCCCCTAAATACGTCCAAACCATTATTATGATCGGGTAACCGAAACCTTTCGAACCATGGTCAAAGAGAGGACCACGGTATTCAAACTGATTTCATACCAGAATTATTCGATTTATTACTAAAAAACCAACGTCGGTTTAATTGAATCAACAGTTCGGTCTCGGTTTGGAATAAAAATAGGATCCGACGTTTTTTTCTCAGTTCTTCTACTCAGATCACAGGTTTTGGTAAACGGAAGCCACTAGTTCGGATCACCACAGTTGAGGTTGTCAACAGCAAATAGATGACAAAGCAAACATTTGAAACAATGTAGGTTTCTTCTTACAAAGTATCCAGATTTGGACTTAATCAACAGACATGGCATCGGTTATGTTCCTCTGGTCTTCCAACGCTGTCCGAATCTCGTCCACCAAACTCTTCTGCTCATCTTCCATTGTGTTCTGCAACTCATCCACCTATATTCCGAAAATATGTTCACAATCATCACAAACACCTTACAAAATGAAAACTGCAAACTAATAAAAAAGCTCGGTTTTTGACATTACCACATGCAACAGCAGAGCAAACTGCTTCTTCCTTAGCTCAAGCAATCTCCAACTTGCAGTGCTCTCTGCTTCAAGCTCAGCAATCTCCTTGTTTAATTCATATATGACCTTCTCTGTCTCTGACCTTGGTGGTTGCGCAGAAATCAGTTTCCTTATCGTCTCACACTCTTCTTTATGCTGCCTATCTATTTTACTCTCCTCAAGCTGCTTCTTCAGATCTTCAATATCAGTTTTTGCCTGCCTTATCTGCCTTTCGGTCTCATCTTTCACCTCGTTGAAGCTCTCTTTCTCCCTACGGTTTGCTTCCACAACAGCTTGGCTCTTCAGAAGCGGAATCTCGAAAGTAGACAGTTCTTGTAAGAAAGCTTTTGCAAGCCTACCGCAATCATTGAAGTTCTCTTCATCTTTATCCACTTCGAGTACAAAAGAAGTGAACTTCTTCTGAAGTTTCTTCAACGGAGGCTCGCCTCGAGTGGTAGTGGTTCGGGTCAGAAGCCGGTTTCTTATGATTTTGTCATCGTCCACCGGATCAAATGCATAGTTAACCTTAGTTACTACAGTCTCTAATCTACCAGAGATCCTCCTAGCTTTAACTGACATCTCAACTTACTTAAAAACTCTTAACTAATTCAACCCTGCAAAAGAAACACACACAGAACAGAACAATCAAAACCCCAATTTGCCAAATTGCATTATCTAAAGCCAATGGATACAAGATTCAAGCTCGAATCTAAATAGCAGAAACCGAAACATAACGTATCATGATTTACGCAATAAAATCGAGCTTCTTCTCGTCTTCAAAGCTTCTATAATGAGCGATTCGGCATCAAAATTTACTTTATTATTTCATTGATTCGTAAGCAATTTCTCAATCGTTACCATTTGGATGTACTGTATTGAATTTTCGGGTGAGATTGTTTTGACACGAACAAATAAGTAAAATCTGCAAAAGATGACATCTTTACTAACCTCAAGTGAAACCCAAGATCCAAATTCGTCTTCCGCATTCAAAACTCGAACAAAGCAGTCTCCTTTTTAATTGCAAACAATCTTCAAATTCTGTTAACCCTAAATCGCGATATACTCATCTTCCTCCTCCCTAATCTTTTTCCTTTTTTTTTTTTTTTTTTTTTTTTTTGGTGTGTGTGATAAATGCAAAAAGCACCCTCAACTTATAATTTATAACAAAATAAATCCCAAACTCTTAAAAATACACAACGAAACCCATTTCTTTTTTTTGTTACACTAAAACTCCTGGTTAATTGTTTTGACAACTTTTATGTGAAATTGAGTTGTGGAGACATAAATTTGATATTGGTTCACAACTATCATTCAAAAGTGAGATATAGATAAAGTATAGCTAATAAAAACCATATATAATAATTTGAATAGACTCTGATTCATCAACGGGTCAGTTGATAAATCACATGATCGAACAAGAATGCACATTTTCGTCGCTAAAGAGCTGAGAAGGGTAAGCATGTTGGGATGAGTACTGAGGAGGGTAGCTAAAGATTCTGTTTCCATCACTGTCTTCGTTCTTATTGGTGTTCTTGTTATTATTATTATCTTTGTTTTTCTCGGTGGTTTGACTTGCAAGCTCTGCATGTTTCCCAAGTTTTTTCTTGATTTTCTCCACAAGTTTTGGAGGATCCATGACTCCTCGTACCACCACCGTTGATTTTGCCCGGTCTGGTTCCACCGTTTGAACACCTTTCAATTTGTCAAAAATAACAGACTTAAATATGTGCTATACTATTTGAAAAGTTATAAAACAACATATCTAGATATGTATGTGTATTATAAATTATATAACTATACCTTTTATCTTCTCAATGCCTCTTTTAATTTCATGAACACATCCTTCACAGTGCATGTTCATTTTTAAAATCACAGTTTTGATCTGCGGAGTAGTCTGAAACCAAAAAACTATGATTTATAATGATGTATATCGTCATAGACCGTATCTAAGTTTAATGTGTATAAATAAGAGTATTTAGTACAAAATAAATGGACAAACTTACTTCTTTCTTTGGTTGTGGCTCCTTCTTCTGATCTTGTTTAGGGTTAGGTTTTGGAGAAATCAACTCAGCATTTTTACTAAATTTCTTTTGCACTCTCCGCAATATCTTCATGGGATCATCAAATTTCCCAGACACAACCACTTTATCGTTTCCAATCTCTGTCTTAATTTGTTCAACCCCTAAAAGACAAGAAAAATGATCAGCACTTATTATAGTCATTACATGAGACCCCAAACTAGATCATGCTTAAGTTAAATAATAATTTCATTCATACCAAGAATATAATAATGATAAATACGACCTAAACCGAAACTTTATATTGATTCATTTGATTGAGAGACGATATGATCCATAAAAGAGAGGGACAAAATAATCTAATAATATTTCCTTTTAAGAAATGTAATTACCATCGTAGCCCCTCAAGCAATTGGAAACTTGTGATGCACATCCTTCACAATGCATGTATACCTTGAGAACAATTTCTTTACATTGCGTCTTTTTCTGATCAGACTTATCAACTGATGAATCTCCATGCTTCTGATTCTTCTTATCAGATTTATCGACTGATGAATCTCCATTTTTCTGATTCTTCTTCTCAGGCTTATCGACTGATTCTCCATTTTTCTGATTCTTCTTCTCAGACTTGTTATTAGATTCTCCATTTTGCTTGTTCTTTAGTACAAAACCAAAATAAAGATAAAGTTCACAATAAGATACTCGTAAAAAAGTATCAAAATCGCCAAAGACAAAATGCACATACCTTTCCCATATCAATGTTACTCCTTAGCTTGTACGACGAGTGCAATGAACAAACTGAACAGTGAGACTCCATATATATAACAAGGTCAGAGAAGTTTTACTATTAATTAATTACCTTTTTAATAGTAACATACAAAAACATATTCATTTCTCTATTTGGATGATCCTATGTACTTATAGTGAGTAGTAATTGTAATCACCAATATGATTATAGGATGACAAAGAGACAACTAATTTTGTAACGACCCCATATATTAACTTCGATTAGGACTTTCGTAACTTCTTATTCAGTGTCCAGATAAGTATACTATTCATTATTTGGATATTCTGAAGTCATGAATGGTTACAAATCTTCGAGCTTTATTTTCTTATTTGTTAGCGGATTTCGTTGATGTCAAATACTCTATCTATAAATCTACTAATTCATGGATTTTATTTCCTTTTCTTTTCTCATGGAGTTAAATAACACGAGGATCGATAGGTCCAACTTTAGTTTGCTATCGAAAATTTTACCAACAATAGATATATATCCTTCATAAAATCAAGCTTTAAAAGTTCAATGTTGTCATAAAGGGTAAAAACTGCGTAACATATGAAATAACAACAAGGGTTACATAGGAGTCCAGCAAGATTTGGTCTTAGGGTCCCAAACAGAAGGAATCAAGAATTTCAAGTGGTTGATTCCATGTGAATTAAAGGCTCCACCAGTAACCGGGTCAACCCGGATTCTACCGGTAAAACCCGGAAAAGCTCCGGATCCGAAAACTCGAGTGCACTTGGTTGCAGGGTCCGCGATATACATGGAAGAGCCATGGTTTCTCTTTCCGGCATCGATGAACGGTGTAGTCTCAGATTTGAACAGGGACTTGGTCAGAGCTGGATTGGTCACGAAATCGGCTAAACCTGTGGCTAGCTGAATAACTAGTGCGTCGGCTCCGACTTCGCCACTTGGAGGTTGATAGATCATGCCACGTGGACCCTTGTCAGCCGTGTGGAAAGGCCAAGCACACTGTCCCGGACACTCCTCCTCCGGGTTGCTTACCATTATGTACGGTTGTGGTTCTTTTTTACCTGCGTAAAATTTACGTAATTACGTCAAATTACTCTGATTCTTGGCTAATAATTATGTTTTATGACGCAAAGTAAAAAATAAAATAAAATTATGTTGATAAACCAATATGAAGAAGAAGAGAAAATCAAACCTTTAATTTTGGCAAGGGCAGTATTTTGGCAAGTTCCGTTACAAAGCCCTAAGCCATGAGCCCTAACTTGTGCGGAAAGTAATACCACGGGCATTACTTTGGACATATTTCCAGTGGCCGTCTCGACAAGTTTCTCACCGTTACCGATTGTCAATTCCTTTCCATATTTCATCTTCTCATCCACATAAGTCCGGACAATCTTCACCTTAATCCTTGGAGTTACGGTTTTGTTATTTTTCTTCTGTCGGTAAATCTCCTTCACCTCAAACCTCTCTTGGTAACTCTCCACCACTTTCCACCATGATGACACCTTCGGGTCAAGACCTTCCTTGGCGTCAAAGTTAAGCGATTCTATGAAATCGTGAACCCTCTCCTTCTGAATGGGGGTGAATTGGCCGTACCATAATAAAGAGAGATTTAGGGTTCCGTTTGGGATTTGCAAAGGTGACTCACGTGAAAGGCAGAGAGGCGCCAAGAGGAGGAAAGTGATGACGGATAATGAGGAGGAAGAAGAAGAAGACGCCATTGCCACCGCGTGCTTTTTCTGTTCTTCTCGACTTTGATGGGGATTTTTAGGCATTTTTTAAAAAGGGGAGTAACTAAATTTATTGTTTAAGCTATTTTTTGACATCAAAAGCTGGTTTCTTTTGTTTTTGGATAGTTGCCAATGATGCAAAAGAGCTATTTTCAACAAAGCTAACTATTTTAAGAAGGGTGGTGAAAAAACTCGTACGACACTTTATTAACACGTAATGATCAGCATATAAAACCCCAAAAATAAAACAACTAAATCGATGTCAATGCCTACCACAAATGCGACAATAACGGTGGCTATTTACATTTTTATTACAGATGGCACAATGATTATGAGGAAGCAAATGAATCGAACATATAATCTAAATCAAATGAATTCGTACCCGGATGATGATCCGAGATTTGATTTGGTTAGTGTAGGTAAGACGCAATCCGTGTCTTTGCAAATCAGCCATTTCAAGCCTTTCTCCTCCTTGTTCACAAGCTTAGATGCCACTGACTTGATTCCACTCTTCATATAATTCACAACAAACATTGCCACCTCTCTGCAAATTGCAGTAGAATGTCTTAAACCATAATATACTAATATGGGTTAAATATATGGAAAGTATAAGAGAATCAAAAGACTTGTTTTATCTGTGTGTAAATCTACTTACAAGGGTGAGCAAGGAGTTCGAGAACCGTTGATAAAGTAGACAAACAAGAAGGCGTCAAAATGCTGGTGTTTGATTAGATAGAACCCGTGTAATCTCCGCACGCATCTGAACATCAATCTTTGGTACAAAAGGATCGCAGCATTGTTGTGGGCAATCACATGAAGGTATACTCCTCGGCACAACGATAACCCAGAAGCATACTTAATCACCTCACTAATAAGTGACATTGCTGAGAAAACAAAAGTTGGAGAAACGTCAGAATTTATGAACCAAGCAATATACAGAACGGGTTAGAGAAGTACTGTATATGACTCATACCAATTCCTCGGTTTCTGTATGTTTCTACAACTCCAAGTGTTAAGATGTAGATCAAAGTCTCCTCTCCTTTTGAGGAATCGTAATGTATTAAATCATCTATCTGTGCAAGACACAGAAACCATCTGCCATATAAGAAATAAGAAACAGCACTTGACTTGTTTGTATTACCAGATAAATTGACTACACGATTAGTAGAGAACGCCTGAAACCCATGGTTCAAACATATGAGTAAGAAAATACTACAAGCTGCTCTAATTCTATAAAAAAATCTACAACTGAATCATTTTGCAAAGATAGATGATGACCAAGATAACAAAACTTATGAGCTTAAACAATAATCAAATCTCAACATTACAAGATTATTGCTTGTAATCACAAAATTTCTGCACAACAATATCCAAAAGCTTACAGAAGAAAGGGACCTCATTTCTTTATTAGAATCATAAACCATAAACATTATAAACTACTTCAACACCCAAAATATAAACTTTAAAAGCTTGCAACGAAAAAAAATTCACAGAAGCAGAACCCACCTCGCTCTCTTTGGCAAGCACGAATTTAGCAGTAACAAAACCGATGAGTTCATCAGAGTGATCTTCAGGGCGGCTCCGATCAACAGCAGCCCATGAGACAATATCAATTCCGTTCACAACACTCCGGAAAAACTCAGATTCATACCTGATAAAACGAAAAGATCAATACTTTCTAATCTTTTCACAAACTGATCCAAAAAATCAGGGAAAACGAAGCTCAAATATATGAAATTCATTAAAAAAAAAAAAAAAAAGGAAAGAGAGTAGATTATGTATACTACTTGATGGGGAAGAGGTCGCGATGGATTTGCTCCAAACGATCTAGATCATTAGGGTTTATAGGTCTGTAGTAAATACTTGGAAAAATAGAGATTCCTGGATCCTCCATTGATGAATCCTCGATGAATCTTCGAGGAAATGGCGACATTGTTTAAGAAACCTGAAATTCCATAGCTTTCCAACTTGAAGTGCCAGATCACTGGATCCGACCCGTTGAACTAATCGGATCCAGAACGAATCTGGATCTACGTGGGTTTGAATTTGATTGGCTGATAACCTTGGCCGAAGGAATCAAGAATCGAGTTTCGAGCGAACGGAAACAAAAAAAAAGGTCCTTGTGTTTTGCCCTCTCCTCTGTCTCTTGGGGCTTTATTCCTCGTTTGAAGTGAAGCATCTTGGCTCACGTGCTTCGCGACGATCAATCACGTGCCTCCTAGAAAAGGAGCAGTACTATTATGTGTTTTGTATACTAGAAAAAGAATTCGTACATTCGATTCGACTCATATAGTTTTCTTGTGAGTTGTGATGATTCGTAAATCGTAACCAACATAACTTTTATAAAAGAACAAATAATATTCCCTCCCACTAAACTAACTAACAAAGATTCAACATTTAAAAGTAAAACACTCCATTAAACACATAAAAAATAAATTAATCTTTCAAAAGCTTTATAAATAATCCATAAATTGTTATTGGCCTTCCACGGCGGCAAGCAGAAGCGACTCAAACGTTTTCGTTAGAGCGAAACGTGAAACGCAAAGGTACACAACGCGAATGGTCCAATGATAGAACGCGAGACTAGTGGCTTAGTGCCACGTATGAAAAAAGAGCTTAGGACCAGATACGAAAAAGACCAGGTACGTACGTTAATACTATATACTATTAAAAAGGCCGAACACGTTAGTCCGGCCCACGTGGTATTTCTTATCTTTAACACAAAACCTTAAAGGTAATTAAATAATCGGACAGTGGAGAGAAAATCAGATGGACGGTAGAGATTATGACACGTTGTAGCACTCTGCGCAATTCCACCGCTTTCTGGAATTAAAAAATCCAAGTGTATAAATCAAAGAGCAGAGGTGAAGAAGCCATTTGCAGAGTTAAATAAGTGTGTAGAGAGAGCTTCTTCTTCTTCATCTTCTCTTCGTCGCTAAGAGAATATTTTCGAAAAATATCTCTGTTGCCCGAAGTAGCGAATCTCGGAGTCGATCTTCTCTTGACTGTACCGGAACCAATCGAATCAACTACGATTTTTGATTCGGTTATTTGGGGTGATAGAATGGGATCGAGTTGCGAATCTGTACCGACGGCGAACTCTTCCACGGCGGTGGTGGGCTCTATTCCGCCTTTTCTGAGCAAAACCTACGATATGGTTGACGATCCACTTACGGACGACGTGGTGTCTTGGAGCAGCGGGAACAACAGCTTCGTTGTTTGGAACGTGCCTGAGTTCGCCAAACAGTTTCTCCCCAAGTATTTCAAGCACAACAATTTCTCCAGCTTCGTCAGACAGCTCAATACTTATGTGAGTGAGCTTCGATTTTGGATTCTTTTTATCTTTTCATTTCCTTGTTCGATTTGGGGGAATCTTACTTTATTTTCCTCTCTTGTTTTTCTTTCAATCGACTTGCTGATTCGTGTTTGAACGAGTGAGTAGTCTTTTTAAGTGTAAGCGATGTTATTCAAAAGATGTTAGTATGATTTGGGAGTAAAGGATGGAACAAGTCAACTCTAATATACTTATTGATGCTGGTTGAACTAAGCACGTCTAGTAGCTTGTGCTTGTTTTACTAACTGTGTCGTCGTTAAAGATTTGGATCTATGTCTTTGTGGGTTCTGACAATCTCGTGCAACATGATTTTACATATTCCATATTTGTATTGTTCTTGTTTTACACATTATTCTTCACTAGTTTTGTGTACATGTATACCCCGTGGACTTCAGGAATATATGTTTTTCTAAGTTTCTAAGCTGCATCTGCATCTGTGACGCTGGAATGAACTTTCTCATCCCATTTTCCAAAATGAATTTTCTAAGGTCAAGCAAAAGCAAGAAAATAGTACTCTTACATGGCTTTGTTTTTCTTTGCTTTTCTTACTTACCAAAAGGTTCAACTAACTTTGCAGGCTTGTTTGGACATGTGCTCTTATGTGTCTGAAGATTGGTTGACTCAGCAGTTCCATTTCTGGCCAGTAGCTCTTAAGTCACGAAACAAAATTTCTATCAGTTGTCCCACTTTAGCTTTCCATTCGTTTGTATTTGTTCGTCCAGGTATATGCCCATACACTAAGAACTATTAGTTTTCTTGAGCCATAGTAGTTAGTTCGGTGCTGCAGTTAGACACACAATGAAGATATGTTATCATGTCATGCTATCTCTACAATAGTTGTTCTTGAAGTATTCGGTGGTCCTTATGTTTATATACATTTTATAACTCTTCTATGCTGGCTTCCTATTTCAACGGAATCCAAGTAACTTCTTCTCATCTTCTGGTTGATGACTGTTCCATTCTTCTTGCATCATTTTTTCAGGGCTTCAGAAAAGTTGATCCGGATCGTTGGGAATTTGCAAATGAGGGCTTTTTAAGAGGCCAAAAACAAATACTAAAGAGTATTGTCCGGCGAAAACCTGCCCAAGTGCAGCCTCAACAACAACCTCAAGTTCAGCACTCATCTGTGGGTGCGTGCGTTGAAGTGGGCAAGTTTGGACTTGAAGAAGAAGTGGACAGACTCCAGCGGGATAAGAATGTCCTTATGCAAGAACTTGTAAGATTAAGGCAGCAACAACAAGTTACCGAACATCATCTGCAAAATGTGGGACAGAAAGTTCATGTGATGGAGCAGAGGCAGCAACAAATGATGTCCTTTCTAGCAAAGGCTGTTCAAAGTCCAGGCTTCATAAACCAGTTTTCCCAGCAGAATAATGACGCAAACCAACACATTTCTGAAAGCAACAAAAAGAGGAGGCTACCTGTTGAGGACCAGAAGAATCCAGCCAGTCATGGGGTTAATGGTCTTAGCCGCCAGATTGTGAGATATCAATCATCGATGAACGATGCAGCAAACACAATGCTCCAACAGATACAACAGATGAGTAATTCACCTAGCCATGAATCTTTCTCAACCAATCATGGCAGCTTTCTTTTGGGCGATGTTCCAAGTTCAAACCTTTCAGACAATGGGAGCTCTTCAAATGGATCATCTGGAGTTACATTGGCAGATGTTTCATCCAATCCTGCAGGATTATATCCTGCAATGAAGTATCACGACCCTTGTGAAACAAATCAAGTCCTGGAGACCACTTTGCCTTATTCTCCAGGTGATCTCGTAGCTCCAAAGCAAGGAGCAGCAACTTCAGGTAGTTCAAATTCGGATTTTGTTGGATGCGAGATAGATAATGGAGAGTGTTTGGATCCAATAATGGCTGTTTTGGATTGCCCAATTGAGCTAGAAGCTGGTGCCATAAATGAGTTACTTCCTGAAGTCCAAGATTCTTTTTGGGGACAGTTCCTTGGTGAAACCCCAGTGATTGGTGACACAGATGAGCTGATCTCAGGATCAGTAGAAAATGAACTGATAATGGAGCACCTAGAATTACAATCAAGCCTGAGTAATGGGTGGAGTAAGAACCAGCAGATGAACCATCTTACTGAACAGATGGGACTTCTCACATCAGATGCTCTCAGAAAATGAGATCACCATGAAATCACAATCTTTCCGCACAAGGTAATCAGTCTTTCTTCATTGATGAGTTATAAACCACACGATTTTCAGAATCTTTGTTCAAAACCAACCCGTCTCTTGTTCTCGCAGATGGGTTAAGATTTGGTGAAGTCGCAACAACAAAAAGAATGTATGACTAAAAAGAGGTATGTGTATGTATCAAACTGGTGTAACTCTGATTCTTGTTAATGTGTAATAAAATAAGAGAAATGTTGCCTTCTGATTTTTGCATTGCACTTGGGAAAACATCTCTGGTTGTTACACAGAATGAAAAGGAGATGCTCCAAAGTGAGATATGCTTCTGTTCTTGTGTATGTCTTTAAGATGATCGAAATTAACTATATGCTTCTGATAAGAGTCATAGAGATCCTTGTTTGTGTATCTTCTGTAACCAAACTTGGCACTCTTGTTTAGACATATAAACACTGTGGCCAATTTTTACCTACTTTAGTGCTTTCAGTTCAGAACGAGAATATAGAGAGAGGCTAACTTGATAGCACACACGTTTATATTCGCACGCTGTAAAACAATTGGCCTGTGTTCTTCAATATACAATTTCGCTAGATAACAGATCTCGTAGATCAAATTTCTTTCCTAGTTGTTGAATAAGAAATTCACTGCTGAAGAACAAAGGTTGTTTACAGAGGAAATCTTAATCCAAGTGCTAAGTTACATAAGTTGTTGACAAGAAGACGAAGCAAGATGGTGTGGACAGAAAACAGAGGCCAAGGAGCTCAAATTGGCCTCATGAAGTATATTTGCTCTTAGCTTTTCCACACTGATGTGCCATTCCGTTTGAAGGTGATTAAACTCTTCCAGTAGCCTCTGTATCCAAGCAAAGATCCATCGGTTGTTTGTGACTCTCTGTCTCTGCATTGTCCAGTCTTTTTGAGAATCCTAATCTCCATGTTACAACATTCCTTTAGTATCACTAAAAAGAACAATCACTGGTGTAAAAACACACATGTTTGGAATCAAGCAGTTTCTTCTCAGAACCACACAAGAGCTGCGCCTTGAAAGAATTAAACAGAAATTTTGTTTACCTGAACCGTTCTCAACATAGATACTTATCTTCAAGCCCATTAAGCCGAAGATTCTTCAGCCCACCTCACAAGCTCATTAAGAAATTAAGGTCTATTCTCTCTAGTCTCTATCTCATATAATTCTTTTTTTTGGTTTTTTTTTTAATGCTAAATATACAAAATGGTGTGATTACTAAATGGATTTTGGATCCGGTTTTGATCGTTAAGAGATTGTATAATTCACATGGGGTTCTATAACTCAAACCTGACTAAAGACGACTTAAACCTACATGGGTTTAATTCTATGACTCAAACCTGACTAAACATACATATAAAGGTTAAGTAGGAAAATAATTTAATTTTCAATTATAGAGAAAAAATCAGAAATTAATGGTTTATCTACTATACTCTCTAATAACAGCTTGAAAAAAGTGGCTCATTTCATCATCATCTATGAATCATCTTCATCATAAACGATACACATTAAAGTAAGTAAGATTAACTTTATTGACAATTGACATACTAAAACTTGTTGTGTTGTGTGTTCTACTTCGAGTAATATAGTAGGAAAATAATTAAATTTCCAATTTAAGAGAAAATATCATGATGAAATGGTTTATCTACTATAGTCTCTAATAACAGCTTTGAAAAAAGTGGCTCATTTGATCGTCATCTATTCATAAACGATACACATTAAAGTAATTAGATCAACTTATTGACAATTGACATACTAAAACTTGTTGTGTAGTGTGTTCTACTTCGAGTAAGTGCGTGTGTGTATATATACATATGGCAATTTGTAAACAAATGTGGCAAATTGTAAGTCTACATTATTTGTAAGTCATAGACCATATATTAAAGTAGATTTAACCAATCACGGAATGAATAAAATTGCAAGCTAGCCACATATGATATCACCAATTAAGCTTCGGGTTAAGTAGTGCGACGACCGACGTAATTGATCAGTATATATAAGACACACTAGAGGTTACAATTTTGCAAAGAATTCATCAAAGAAATCACATTAAACATTTCAGCAAACAATGATGAAGAAAACGAGTCTGGCGATGGAGAAGAAAGCAGTGAAAACGAGCGTGGCTATGGAGAAGAAAGCAATGGAGCCGGTTAATTACTAAATCATTTCTTTTATAATATATAGGAAATTCATATTTTGTTTTCTTGATCCTCATTTTTACAACTCCTTATAATTTTCAGGTACCATCGCTTAATACGAAATACGAGGTGCGCATAATTGACGCTATAATTGGTACACACATGGGAGCACCCGGATACTCGTACCGCGTACGGGTTTGGCCGGAGCATCTGGAGATTATGTTGAAGGAGACAAACTGGGTTAGGTCAGAGACTGGTGATCCCAAATTCAATCAATCGCTTATTTTCAACCACCCTTCTCCTATCTCCACGTTCATGCTTTCCCTTGAGCTGGTGGAGTCGCCGGAGCCCGAAGGAGTAGAACTTCCTCAGCTTCCTAATCCTAACTATCTGATGTCATCAGTTATTGGCACCGGTAGTTCAGTCGTGGTACCAACCGAACCAAAAGAGGAGTTTGTATTTATGTTCGACGAAGACCAGAAGGAGACTGGAAGCATCAACATTCTTGTTAAGGTCGAGTAATTACTTTACTACCGAGAAAAAAAGAGTGTTAGTAAATCTTAATTATGAATAATGATGATCGTATGTAAGCCGTATTTTATAAAAATATATAGTAAATCTTAATTATGAATAACGATGATCGTATAAAATTTGTTGTATCTTATTATGAGTATGTTTTACTCTTATTATACTTTATACTTAGCATTATTTAATGATCCTGATTGTATACACGTTTACACTCTCTCTCTCTCT